ATATGTATTGATTAATGAAGGCTATTTTAAGGGATGGTTTCAGGGTGGTGACAGATATGTACAGATGGCCATGAGTTAGGGTGGGGGAGTTACTTCTAAGACTTGCGATTATAATGACCGCTTTTATAATCATTCAGATTTTATAAGCACCAGTGGTTTACTCATCTCTGCATAAATGATACATAATGATGTATCATTTGTACCAGTTTTCATAACAAGACGTTATGAAAACTGGAACAAAGAATAAATACAAAATGAGAGTTCTTGCCAATGGCAAGCAATACGTTTTTACCTATTATTTCATAAAAAAGAAAGAGTTTTCATGAATCAGCCCAACATGCTAGAATAAACTAAGGGTAAAAAGTAAAGAAGGTTTGTGTAAATTATGAACGATTGAATTAAGTGCAATCTTAATTGGCAGGTCAGATATAAGTGTGACAAAAAGCAATAGAAAACTGGATGGGCTAAGGGTGCTCATGTAAAAATAAAGAACAGAATTTATACTTACCTCTCCCGCCTCCCATGCCAGTGTTTTCACTCTTTTGAAAAGCTGAGCTTGCTGAAGGGTCTTCAGCATCTGACACTTCCGGGGATGTTAGATGTTTGGTCCTCCTCTGTGCCCTGTGGTTCCATTTTCTGGCCTCTTGCTGCAGGGCAATAGTGAATCAGAGCCGGCTAAAGGAACCACAGAGCACAGCGGGAAACCCAGCATCTGACAGAGCAAATACGGTCAGACCCTGAGGTCTTTTCAACAAGTTTAGCTCTTTAAGTCAGTGAAGATTGTCGGTACAAGCGGCAGGAAAGCAAAGTATTTTTTTTTCCGTTTTTGTACGTAGTTTCATCCAGTTGTGTTTGGAAGCATTTAAAGAAGTGGAATCTAGCAATGCACATGAAAATATGTTTCTAGTAAACGTTAGCTTCTTCACATTAACTTCACATTAATAAATCACCCAGTGAGCTCTTTCATTTGATTTTTTTCATGCGGGTGTATTGCTCTATGTGGGATTCCATTTAAACTCTAAAAAAAGAAGGAACCATATTTATTCTTGTTAGCTGAACTCCGGGATAAACAAATATTGTCTAAATACAAGAGGCATGTGTAGTCTTACTTGATGTGCTTCCTGTGTTTTCTTCCGCAACTGTGCCGCGATCCACTGTGAAACGTTCCCTCTTGGCAAGAGCTTCCTGTAATAAAGACCAGTCACTGCTACTCTCTCTTCCTGTGCAGGGTGACTGGTCATGTCTTGGCCCCCGCCTATACTTTTCTGCAGGCAGTCTGTAGCGGGTGGGGCCTGCTGGGTCCCTCCCACTGCTCTGCTCTCTGAACAGGCTATATGCAGCACACTAATAATGTAATTGCTACTTTTACACAGTAATAACTGGGTTTGGAAAAGGATTTAGTGAACACAAGGTAGATCTATAACCAGTGTTCCAATTTAGGAGTATATTTAACTAAACATTTTCCAGCCTGGAGCTTTAATACAATCATAAAGTTACATCTCTGTTTTTGGATACAAATGACAATTTGCATACATATGTTAAACTTTAAGTAATTATTCATACTGGCAGACTGAGCCTGTCATATTTACTAAAATATATTTCCTGGATATGTTGGAAGACTTGGCAGAACACTCATTTTTTAAACACACACCAATATGCTATTGCTTTAAAACAGACGTTGCACTGGGTAGAGTTTCATGTTAGGTTCATCCATGCTATATCATGGGACTAATTTACTAAAGGATTAGTAAATGCTCATACGATCAGTTGTGTGAATACGCACTTCAATTATCCAATCATGTGCAGGTGAAATAAGTAAACAAGGATTTTCTTTTCACATGGTTGGAAAATTGAAGTGAATTTTCAAACAATCAATTTTAACTTTCTCAAATCCTTTAGTAAATCAGCCTCGTGTAATTCTTACATTTGCTGTTTTTTCTCAAAGAGATCACAGTACCTACCTCCCCCTGACAATGCTTTTATCCTCCTCTTAGTCCAGAGGGCCAGCAGCATCCTTGTTCAGGCATCACCTGCATCTTGGTTTAAGATACTGGCCAGAGATGATACAGCCATGTACATTTAAAGTGACACTAAACTCAGGAGTTAAATCTTAAAAATACATTCAAGTACCTGAACTATTAACAGAAATGTATTTTATTTGTGTATCACTCAGCTGTATAGCATCAAATCATCTCTGAACTGGTGCTGACACTCTCCTTCCATTTGGAGGGTGGCTGCTTATGCTCCCTGTGTGTGTTGTAAAGTAGTCACTGCTCCAAGCTTGCTCCCGTGATATACTACAATCTCAATACAAATTAGTAAACTAAATGTGAAATTGTGGTCCAACACAGGAGTGAGCTTGGAGTGGTGGCTACTTTATAACACACACAGGGACAATGGGGAACAAAAGTAGCCCCCCTCCAGAAAGAAGGACGGTGTCAGCACCAATTCAGAGATGATTTGAGGATCTACAGCCGAGTGATACACAAATAAGATACATTTTTGTTAATGGTTAAGATACTTGAAGGCTTTTTTAAGATTTACCTTCTGAGTTTAGTGTCACTTTAAGTGCCTAAATAGTAGCCTTCATGTCCTTTATGTGTGTATACATAATGTATCATACAACTCAGTCCCTAAGTACTGCCTCCCTGTGGCCAGCCAGTGTACAAATCCATCATACTCATCCAGCTTAGTTTCTCTTCTACGTCTTGCCACTAAAAAAAAAAAAATCATCTCAGACACACACATCAGTCCCCTTGCTGCCACTCAGACTGTGTACTGCCAGAGGCCAGAACACTACAATGAACAGAGAGAGACTAGGAGAGCAGACTAAGAAAATGCTTCCTCCTGCCTGCAGCAGACTGATGGCATTATTCTTTCAGGCAAATCTTTAGAGACCTTGCCTAGGCACAGTCACTTGACTGGAGCTCCAGGACTGTTTTGTAATTGTAAAAGGCACAGGATATGTTTTGTTAAATATGCTGTTTCTGCATATTGTAATATATCGTGAATTTACGTGTTACGGATAATTTCATTTTGATTTCTGCAAACAATTGCGGGCAGAGTAAGGAAGACTTACAGTAGCATTCCAACTGCTGTGTCATGCAGCATCATCAATAATTGTTCAACAATACTGCCTTAGCATCTGCATATACGCTGCCCATTAGACACGGCGCTTTGTGTCTGTGGCAAACTAATTTTCATTAACATTTGTTTCAAAATGTGGTCATTTAAAGTAAATGGCACTTAAGAATGCTGTTTTATTGAAGGCCTTTTTTGGTTTATTAAAGAATAACTTTACATTCTGACCATGTTTGATGTTACATCCATATTCAAGTTGTAAAATGAAACATGGTGACATCTGTAGCCCCATCACTGCACTTGTAGACATCACTTCACTTGTAGAAATCATTGCACATGTAGTCTATGGACACATCCTCCCGCTCCTGTAGCTGAAAACCCATACCTCGGTATAGACAGGGACTGGGAGCAGGAGTCTGCAGGAGCCTGTGCATTGCACCAATGCAACAAGTCAGTGATTGCACATTTTTCTTAGAGATCTTCTAAAGTAATAACACACCTGGTACTCCTACTATACCCCTTGGCAAAGAACTGCTTCCTCTTTGTGATTGACCATGCTAGGCATGGAAGCACATCTGTCCTAACATTTTTAGTTTGTGTCTCTTCTTAAGAGGGGGACCCTAGTAGTAATGTGATGGCCATTAAAAGCTCCCCAAAATAAATATTTCCTTCATTTTTGGGATAACTATATGTAGATGGTGCATACGGTGCTTTTATTTTTTTACCCATAATTTGCATTTCTATACACTTTAAGCATCTAGCATTTTCAGGAGTAGAGATCGGCTATGTCAGCTGCTATATTTCTCTCAGGAAATGGTTTCCTTTTAGTATAGGTACAGTTTAATTGATCAATGTACTATATGTGATACAAGATACAAGCCACAGCTCAGTCTGAATGTTACTCGCTAAGATATCGTACATCTTGTATGTGGCCTCTAGACTCAAAACTGCATATTTTGGCACCAAATACCTAAATCTTTAAGTTATGGTTATACATGTCTTGTCAGATAGCCCATCTGTTTTGTTTTGTGTAAGCTTTAAAAATTATTTCCCCCAGTGAGTTGGAGCGGTGAGTGCAACATTGGTTGCTAGTGAGCTGTCCGTATCTGTCTGTCACTGCTAAACAGCACATAAACAATATCCTTCCCGTCTCATTTGCCATTTCTGTATTATTGAGTACAGCAGGTATGGGCAGCCTTCCATGTTGTTCTGCCAGCTGATATGTCAATGCTGAATAGCACAGCTGAAATCTAAGCCAGCACAAACAGGAATAGTTAAGGTTGGCCATTCCACTCTATGCAATGTCAAAAGAATATCATCCTTCATTGTTGTAAACTTTTAACGTTATTGTTTGAAAACTGTGATTAGTCTTGTTTTCTTCTTTCATACTTCTGGTATGAATGTAAATAATGCTAGACCTCAATTCTTTGTAGCTTGGAGAGTTTCCTTGCATGTAATTACATTAGTTTATAAAGGAATGAGCTGTAATGGCCTTCATTTTGTTTTCAATGCATTGCAATGCACTGCTGTCCCTTTCATCTCATGCTGCCTTACATATTTGTGTTCTGTGAAAAGCATTAAATGCTTCGGAATGGCAGCTCATTTCATGACTTATTTAAACATTTGTGATGCTAAGTCTGTCTGTTACACATAATAATCTTCTCACAACCGAGCGTTACCTGCAAGTCAATGCCCTGCCGAATGAGATAAGTAAGGCATTAGTTCTGAGACAATGCACTGTTCCGAGAAGATAAGAGTCCATGACAATGCCATGCAATGACAGTCAGTTAATACTTCTTCCAGTGATAATCACCAGCCATTTTCTTAGTTTATTTTCTGATTACATGAATATGTAAATATTATAGAAGCTGTTTAGCATTTTCTGTGCTCTATATTACTTATTTTCTTCTTATTTTCAGTTTTATGGAGAAGTGCCTGAAAACCGGATCGACGTTGTAGTAGCAAACCTAACCGTAACGGACAAGGACCAGCCACACACAAGTGCTTGGAACACAGTGTACAAAATTGTCAGTGGGGATGCCACAGGACGTTTTACCATTAGGACAGATCCCAACAGTAATGATGGCTTGGTGACTGTTGTCAAAGTAAGTTGGAATATTTAAAAAAAGATAATGGATTTGAATAAAATAAATAAAAATAAATATGAGATTGCATGTTAATACTTACCTGCCACTTACACAGATAGGGTTTACATAGGTAGAACCTCTGTTGATATTTAGGTTAACTGAATGGAAAGTAATCAAACTACAAAAAGTGCCCATGTTAATGAAGTGATACATTTTAACACTTAATTGTTAACTCCTGTTATGTGAAAAGAAGGCTTACCTCTATCTCTATAATTACTCCAGACCCAAAGGCTGCTAATACACTATGGGTCTCGTTTACTAAAGCATGAATTGCAGCTAAGTACATGGAAATTAATTTTCTCACTCACTCACTTCAAAGATCCAATAGGTTGCAGAAAAAGTTGTCGTTTTTCTAATTCCTGGCACATGATTCAATGCTTGAAGTAAACACAAATTTGCCTTACATTATTAAATACAGTATATTTTTTTAAGAATTGGAGATTTTAAACTCTTATGCCTGGGCTGTGTTTGGATTGACCTGTAGTCAATCTGTGCACCTTTTCCCACCCATTATTATGACTAGACCGTTTTTTTTTTAGAATGGCAGTGTTTTCAAGAGTACTAGAGACCATATTAGCCACAGTCCTGATCATTGGCCTCCCTGTTTTAGAGAGACAATGCCGAGCCACAGGCTAGCAATGCAGCAAATAAGCTATTACCCCGCTGTTTGTGCTTCTTTTATGAGACTATAGAACACAGTGCAGAGGCACAGCTGCATGTAGTCTCCCCATAGTAAGTACAAGTCAATGAGTTGCCCTCTCTGCCTCCAGAGGGAAATACCATAAAGGGACATGGGATGGGAAGTCCTACAGTGCACAGAGATGTCACAGACAATTCACTGCGCTTTCGCTCCACCACAGTCCTAGGCCTGCAGATACAGAAGCTGTCCACAAGCAAAAAAGCCAAAAAGGGCATTTATAATGCATTATTCAGTTCAAAACATAAAACATTTTTCTGAGGAATAAGGCTGATTGTAAAAGGCAGGGTTTAAATTGATTTTAATCTGAACAGTGTACAGATAACCTACATTTCTTTTCTTTTATTTGCATTAGCCAATTGACTTTGAGACCAACAGGATGTTTGTTTTGACGGTAGCTGCAGAAAACCAAGTGCCTTTAATCAAGGGCATCCATCACCCTCCTCAGTCAACAGCCACTGTCTCCATTACCATCATTGATGTCAATGAGAGTCCCTACTTTACCGCAAACCCTAAACTTGTTCGTCAGGAAGAAGGTCTGCTTCCAGGAAATGTTCTCGTAACTTTTAATGCTCAAGATCCAGACCGCTACCTGCAGCAGACAATTAGGTAAGCTCCAAGTTTCTTTTCACTTCAAACTTCTGTTATTAGATAATTTAGCTTCCACTTCAGAAGGTGACTGTTGGATCCACACATTTTCTCAAGCCAATATGCATTGACTTATTATTGATATTTTTGTAATTTTGTTTTAGTTTGTTTGTTTTGTCTTTACTCAAATTAAAGTCATTGATGAAGAGTGATTCACACACATCAATGCACAGATAATTATATTGTCCTACTTAATTGCACCTAGCTCTGTTTTTCTCCAGTATTTCTGGATGGTGAGCTCTTAAGTGAATATGTACAATGTTAAAAACGTTGAAAAGTAAACATTCTGCGTAGGTGCAAACAGCACAAGCTGTTTCTTTGTTGCTTTTATTACCCAGAAAAATATTTTATTTGCCACTTTTTAATTGTGTTACCGGGACCTTACTTTTACTGGCAACTGAAGCAGTCTCACAGCATAGATATATACTGTATTTTTCACTAATGCCTGAATTATAAGAAATCGTGTTCCTTTCCCTTTTCTATAGGTGTCTAAATCGACGTTCTAGTTTGGAGGGCATTCTGACTTTTGGGTTTGGGTGTCTGCTATCTGGGTACCTGCTCGTTTATTATGTCACATATTATGATTCTGCTGAGAGCTGGCTTGAGTCTTTAGGCAGAACACCACTATAGAAATAGTGGAACTTATGTTAGCCACAGGCCCCAAGAGAACTTGCCGCAATGTTCACGTATGCATGGCATACTTGTACATCATGGGAAATTTACGTCCTAGGGAGGCCTCTTCCAGCTATGACAGATAAACCCTTGCCCTTGTTGCTTAGTCACCGTCGCTGCCATCTTCTCAAATTCTTCTTTTGTCCCAACATCTCTCTTCGACGATTGGGTGGCCACTAATGATGTAACTTTCGGGCATTGTACAGATGTGGAAAGGGAACAAGAGTGTACAATACACTGCACATGTGCTGCAATGTACACAACAAAAACTATTACTAGGAGCAAAAAGGAGTTTTTTAGTCTCGTCTGCCAAAATACTCTACCTTCTAGAAATGTTTGCTTTAGTTCAGTTGAAAAACAAATGTGAATATTGGTACTGAAATTTAACATGCCTTTATGTGTAAAGTTTGTGCTGAAGCTTAGCATCCAGTCATGCACAGCTTTTAGATCTATCCATAAACATTTGATACCTGTTGTCTAATATCTGGGATTTCAGTAGAAGTGCACAAAAATCAGATAATGGCCATAATAAAACAATTTGTTTGATCTACATAGCAATCCCACAATATTTTGCAACAATACTGTACTTCAGAACAGTGAATTTTGTAGTAGCACTGGTGGCAATATTTAATGTCAGCTGCCAGATATAGCTCTTACTGTATTGCGTCAAACAATGTTACAGGCTGACTTTAACGACTCTAGGTTTTGCCAGATACAAGAAGTTTGCGTCTTTGTGTTTAGTTTTATATGTTATCAGCTGGTATATGTTATCAACTGTTATATGCATCTTTTACCTTAGAAAGTTGTCATCTAATCACAGCCAATATTTTTATTCTTAGATATGCAAAACTTTCAGACCCTGGAAACTGGCTAAAAATCGACCCAATAAACGGACAGATAACCACAATCGCTGTTTTGGACAGGGAATCCATGTATGTAAAAAACAACATGTACAATGCAACTTTTCTTGCAACTGATAGTGGTAAGTGTTCACAGAAATGCTTCTATCTTAATTTTGTGTACATCTTTTTAGAATGTAATTAGGTCAGATATGTTTGCAACTGAGATTGTGGCCTACATCTCATATTTTTGTAACATAATAAATCTGATTTTGTGTTTGCAGTAAGTATTAATTAATTGCATGTTAATTCAATTTAGTTACCTGCAGCCTTTTTGAAAATAAAAGTATGACATGTAAACATTCAGTTATATCATAAACATTTTCCATAGAGATATTGTTATCCCTCTAATTAGATATTTGATTATTTGCCTGTAGTTTAGATACTCCATAAAGTGCTGCAGAAAATTGTATAAATTAATAAAACGTATAAATATATTGATATATGTGTTTCATAATAAAGCATTGCTATCGTTCTTATGTTATAGCAAATGTAGAGTGCATACAAGCATATTAAGTGTAAAATAAGTCTAAAGGTGAATCCATATATTTGACATATGAGACCTCATGAAAAGTGGAGCTGTTGCTTTTTACCAGCCATTTAGATACTTGCTTTCATTTTCCTATATTCGAGTAATTAAATCTGATTAGGTACTGTAGACAACACATTCGTTTTGTAATATGTTTCATCTGTTGTATTCCATATGTACAGTATATTTCCCATAAGGATAATATGTAATCACTTTGCTGTTTTTACTACCATAACTGCATTAGCCATCAAAAAAAATGTTATGAGGAGCCAGGAGATTGTAATATTTCTAAACATTACATTTAGGCCTATGCATTATTTAGTCCCTAATTACAGACTGATGCTTTCTAAAATGATGACAGTCTTCTGTTAGGGGTTGATTTACTAACCTTATAAACACGCCACGAACATGTATACACCTCTGTAGTGTGCTCCCTCCCAGCATGATCTATTGGTGGAATCTAGACACCTTTGTAGTGTGTACACACCCAGCAGGTGTGTTGTGCAAAGCCCTGCATGAATTGCAAGGTGATGTTGTGTAAATTAGCTCTACATTGTGTTGCTTACGTTGATGAATGCAGGAATGTAAATGCTAACCATTTTTGTCTAAACTGTGAAGCAGCATTATATATGCATCATGTGCATGATTTTTCCATATATGGCATTATTGGAAATATGCTTTTAGAGACTTTTTGGTTGATAAATACGTTTTGCTGTGTAAAAATCACACGCATCTAGTGTGTGTGTGTGTTTAGGTTAGTAAATCACCCCCTTAGTGTCAACATCAGAAGACACCTCCTGCCCAACGTAACAAACCCTAGAGCATATAGCTTGGTGATGTTTGGTTTCTGAAACATTTTGCATGATCTGTTGAAATATTGAACTGATATGTTTCTGTTTTTGGGAGAGACTAAGTAAGGTTAGGTGCTAAATGAATTGCGGAATGTGCAGTGCAAGCTTGTTTCAGAATCCTAGCTCAGTCTTTTGATGTCATGTCTTTAGTAGTAGACCTTATTCTTAACATCACTGTTAGTGTGATTCAAATCCTGTTTGGATTGTTATTAAAGTAGTAATACACTCTCAAACTTTTTACAGTAATGAATCCAGATCAAACAAATATACATTGCCCAGCAAAGTATCTCCCAAGCACTTGCAGTTATCAAGTTTCCAAACAGCCAGCACCAACTTTCTCAGCACAACTTCCCCAAACGTTCTGTTGAGTTCAAGATCACAAGCAAGAGTAAAATCTCCAGCAGTTGTCCAGCTACTAGCTTGGAGAAGGGAGGAGCGAGGAAGCAGGCAGCAGGGGAGTAACTTAGCTTGCATTGCCCATGTGTTTGTAAAGACACACACAGCTTACTAGCACACACAAGGGTGGCTTCATAAGACCTTGCAAGAGAAGCGAGCCACCGTAAAATGCAATATCAGGGCTAGTGCTCAGGGGACCAGCAAATTTGGCTGGAAACTTTTTTAAACATAAGGAGCAGCATCTATTGTAAGTGATTTAATTAGCATTTGAAATAGATTAAAAACCTTTTGACTTTAATATCACTTTAAGTCCTGGTAGAATATTCTCCACATTACCAAAAAGAGCAACACTGCGCACTACAGACACTAAATACCCTCTACTAATGTTTTATGTTTTGAAGGGCCAACAAACCTAAAGCACTGGTATGGCTGACGTTGCATCATTCTGCTCAGATATGAAGCATCTTTGCTGTTCATTGAACTGATATTTCCAGTCTGTTGATATCTATTGGTTGAAGTGGAAACAGTTCTGTAGCAGAGGGGGCTTGGAGTACAGTTGTGGCATCCCTTTCATTTCCGTTACTTTCAGTTTTTGCCCTTCATTCTAATCCAGTTGATATTTTTGCACATATATAAACAAATAATGCAAATTTACACAAGTAAGGTAACAGTCTTACTTATATATTTTGTGTTGGTACCATATCTATATCTGCTTTGACTACTTCTATGTTGTATAATATATTTCAAGTTGGGTGGAGCAGAATGAAGTCAGAGGGGTTGATTTACTAAAAGCAAATAGTCTATTCACTTTACAATGGGGAATTCCCTTGGCTTAGTTAATGTGGTGACAATTGCACATGATTGGATGATGAAAGTCAGCAGAGCTTCAACTCTTTCACTAATCTAAGGGAAAAATCTAAAAGCGCAAATTTGTTTGCAAAATGAACAGTCTGTTTTTTTATATCTGCTGATAATCAGCATGAATATGGCCAGAACTTACCATCACACATGACAAGAACCTATTGACAAGAACCAGGATAGAAATGCAGGCTGGATTCGCATGAGCTGTAAAAGGAGATGCTTGACAGGAAATTCTAAACACTCCAAGGTCTATCCTGAACAACAAAGATGATTTAGTTCAGTACATGTACAAGTAGTCAAGGGGTGACATGGTGTGGCTGCCTCAACTTTATTTGCTGTTTTAGGAACATTGTTGTACATTGGACCTCCTTCCAGTAGAGTGGTTAAAAGATATATTTTCTAAAAGCAGGCTTAATCATCCACCCATATGTGTAGCTACTGTAGATGACCATCACCACAGTTGTCAGATCTTTAAGTTTGGCTTGTGAATCAAATGTCTTGATCTGTCAGATGCATGTACAGCCAACCTGTTCAAGATCAAGGCCCCTGAGCTCAGTGTATGTTTTATTTTGCTTTTGTTGAATTCAATAGTTAAAGGGTGACATGCCTTGGTATTTTTAATTGTGTAATTGTATTTTAAATAGGTGTTCCCCCCATGAGTGGCACGGGCACGCTTCAAATATATTTGCTGGACATAAACGACAATGCCCCTCATGTGTTCCCTAAAGAAGTGGAAATTTGTGAACGGCCAGATCCAAATGCCATTAATATTACAGCAGTAGATGCTGACATCAACCCCAACGCAGGACCTTTCATCTTTGAGCTCCCATATAGCCCAATGGACATTAAGAAAAACTGGACGATAACGCGGCTCAGTGGTAAGCATGATTTAACTTGCCTTAATCATTATTTCATCTTATGAAGCTTATGGTCAACAATATTAATTCCTTCCCCATCCTCCCCTTCAAGTAAAGGACTTCTAAGATCACTGAGACTTTAATAAGCTACCACATGCATTTGTGAGTGTAATTAAGCACAATTTTATGGAAGCTTGCTTACATTTAGTGCTTTTAGTATGTTGTAACATTGTTTTTTAATAATCTGTTAGAAATACAGCAGGTGTCTGTTTTTTCGCCTTGGGGCCATTTGACATGGTTTATTTTGACATGTTAGAAAATTGTTACATGTTATTATTAACTGCAATACCTGCTACTTTGCGTGTTTTGCTTCTATAATTGCTTGATAAAAAGATGGGTGGACTGTCTTAAATACCAGAAAAATATTCTGTTCTAACATTTGTCTGGTTAGTGCAGAGTATAAAAGAAATTATAGTTTGCCAGAAATGCAGATTTGAGATGCTCAAATTAGGAATGGATAGCTATTTGAGCTAAGTGATCTTATTGAATGCAATTAAAGCTAATCTCCCAGAAGATATAAAAAAGCACAGATAATTGCAGGTATGTATTCATTAAAAAAAAATCCTAAATTTGTCTTCCTTTCAACCACTCGGAAGCCCCTGTAAAATCGAGTTTGAAGTCTGGCTCTGCTGCAGTGCACATGTCAGGGAATATATAGACAGAAGGAAAGAGCAGAATGATGAGATGATGATTGTGCTGCTGCTCCTTCACTGTCCTGTCAGCAGGCTATTTTTGACCAAGGTGTGCTAAAGCTGTCTTAAAAGAATGCTTAGGTCATAAGACTGGATGAACAGAAATACAAATATGTTTACAGGTAAAACAGTTCCCACATATATACTTTAACTGTGTATTTAATTGATTGCCTGGAGGTCAGCTTTAATGCTTCGGGATGTCTTCATTTTTGGCTACATCAGGCTTCTTGCCTTTTTTTTTGGTCCATCCCAATCAGAATTTTAAAAACTCTGAAGAGGTGATTGATGTTGTTTTTACTAGACATTTCTTGTCTCTGGGTTGGTCTAGCTGCTTCACACCAAAACTGCTAGAAATATGTAAAGTGTATAGAATAGGGTGTATAATAAAGGGTGAATCTCTCCATTGGGGCCATAGGCAGCGAAAAAACATGGTTGGTTCCATCCTTTTAGTATTCTAAAACTAAAAATACATTTTCCTGGAGATGCACATAAAACAGTAGGCTATACCCAAGATATAATTTGCAGAAATGCACATAGGGAACTTGCAGGATTTCAGTATCCCCTCTTCCAGGACTTCCAAGATGGCAATGCATGGTAACACATGATATCATCTGCGTTGTGGTACCATTTGGTTAGAATGGCACCCCAACATACAACATTAACCTTCAAGAGAGCTGCGCTGCAGAACCCCACAATGCGCATGCATTGTGGTGCGTTGTATTAGAGCAAGCTGCAGGGATGTTTTTTCTTCTGTTGTTATGTGTTGTGTTAAGGCAGCCCACCAACATGGGCACGTTGGAAGGCACGTGGGGTTATTTTAGGTAACTTTCACTGCTTTTGCTTCTACAAGTTATAAACTCTATACAAGTGAATCATTTTATTTCTGACTTTTCTGCTGTTGGTATTTTATTGTCACTTTGTATCCATTAGCTTAAATATGCAATGTTTGAGATACACAATAATGTACCGTAGGTTCAATATGGTTTCTGAGATTACTTTAGTACTATAAAGTGGAGAAAAATTGCAAATTCCTGCTAACTTTAATAAGTGAAGGTTGTTTAAACAGATTATTCAAGGTAGCAATCTCTTGCGGTAGTTTAAATATAAAAAAAAACAATTGTACAATTTATCCTACGACAAATCGTAGTTAAATGCAACTAATCAGGAAAGTGTTTTGTGCTCAGGCTTTGTCTACTGGTTTTATTAATTTAGACAAATGAATCCTGCTGTTTCAATTGCACTTTTTACCACAGCTGTTTAATGCTGCAAACTATAATATTGCTGATTGTTTTGTTACCCGTTATTGTTATCTTTTTTTGTAAACAATGTAAGCAAAGCTGTGAAAAATAACCTGCTATTGTTAGCATTACGGCAAGGGATGTTATGTGCAGTGCTTTTTTTAGTTGGTTTTGTTTATCTATAATATATTTTGCAGAGGTTTATATAGAAATGTACTCTACGTTTTACAGGGGAATATTATAGCTGGTATACAAATTGTTTTGTTACAAAGGAACTTTGTAAGAGTTACAAAATACCTTTTATGTGGTATAGTTTCCTAATGTAAGAGTTGTGCTATTGTTCATACTATTTGCAGAAGTGGGAGGACTGTTGCTTTGCATTTGTTTTCTGAGTTCATAAAAGGGAAAGTTGTATAAGAAAAGGTAAGCTGTTGGAATTTAAAGTGAACCTGTGCATTGCCCAGAAAGGCAGTTTATTTGCAAAATTGGGATGTCCTAAAGTCGACACTGTACGCTTCAAAAAATCAGGTCAACTGTTTCTGTGAAAAATTGGTAGCTCTAAAATATCAATTTGGGTAAAAAAAGTTTAAAAATAGGTATGCTTACTGATGAAGCGTGGAGAAAGGTCAGCCGAAGCCAACTGATCTCCAAGCAAATTATAGCTGGGCGGAGCCAGCCGTGATCTCACGACTGGCTCCGTCCAGTTGTAATGACAGATCGGCATCCCCAAATGACCTGGGGATGCTGATCTGTCATTAAACAATAATAACTGGGCGGAGCCAGCTGTGGCGTCACAGCCTGCTCCACCCAGTTGTTATTAATTGCCTGCTAGACTGATGGAAGACTCTGGCAGGTGCTGGCCAATAGGAAACAGTTGGGCGGAGCTAGCAGTGATGCCACTGCTAGCCCCGCCCAATTGTTTCTATTTTTGCCCGGCATCTGTCTTAACATCATGCAGCAGGAGTTTGTCGTGTGCAGTCAGGTCGGCATGCAACATTTTTTTGATTTATTTATTTATTTTTTAATATTTTAGTTTTTTTAACTTTTTTTAAATTTTCATATTATTTATATTTGAAATACATTATGCTGTTTAGACTGCTAAAAGGTTTGCCATTCTTGTGAGTCATGCACCTCTGCCACACAGCACAACCCAGCACATCAATTTACTGGTTCATCAGTGCAGCTTCTGGTGTCACCTTTTCACCTGCAGCTGCCAGAAAGATCAGCCATCGTTTATAGGTTCTCTTGATACCAGCCTGCCCATAGGACAATGAACTGTCCAATGAACAGAGAGTTGAGCCAGCAGCTTCTAAATTTCAGCTAGAAAATGCTAACATGAACTTCTTAGCTTTGCAGTGAGCTAAAAGTTTTGTGACTTGCAAGAATGCTTGATCAGTGTTGCAAATACTTTGCAGGTAAAACAGTATCTATCTATCTAGTTATCTATCTATCTATCTATCTATCTATCTATCTATCTATCTATCTAACTACAGACTGAGTAGGTGATGGTAGCCTTCTGGACTACTGATAAGTAAGGCTTCTAATTGTAGTATCAGAAATGTTTAACTGATGCTCTCATTTTCAAGCATCCCTTGTAGTAGTTGATGTCCTAGAGATAAGTCAAGTGGACAAAATGATTACCTATCTTAAGATGCAGAAAAAAAGGATTAAAGTAGAATGCATATACCATTAAAGAGAATTGTGGAGGGTTCTGGTGCTCTTGCAAAGCGTTCCAGGATGCACAGATACTTCCCTACCTGATATTCCTGGGAAGACATGTGCTTGTCTATGACCAACCTTAATAATGTTATGTTTTGTTAAATACTGTTCATACTGTCATGACCAGAAAGTTTAAGGCCCAAAAATGCTATGTAGTCACACTAGCCTTTTTGGCAGGTTTAAATGACAGCAGATGCATTACCTTGTCTCAGGTTATGTTTTAGGTAAACTCATACTAGCATCTCAGTAGATCTAATTGTTGATAAACTATCCTACCGCGTTTCCCCGAAAATAAGACCTACCCCGAAAATAAGAGCTAGTACTATTTTTGGGAAATGCTAAAATATAAGACCTACCCTGAAAATAAGACCTAGTTGTGACCATTCCCAAGGCTGGTGGTGGTGCTAGAGGAAGAGAGGCGGCAGCGGAGGGAGCAGAGCTGCATAAGCCGATACTTTTTCCATAGCGCTGGCTCCTGTCACAGGCGGAGTAATACCAAATGCACTCAGCCTGTGAGGAATCAATAGTGAAAGTGCGCTTCGCTCATTCTGGCCAGCGCTTGGTTAGCAAATTGCTCTTGGAAAGGTACGGCATCAGGCCAGAATTCAGGATTTGGAGAGTTATGATGATGTTCCAAAAGAAGATGACATTACTGTATTTGAATAAATGTACGGTATATTTTTGTACATTATTACATGTAGACTGTTGTACATGAATAAGTGTGGGTTGCTGTACATTAAACAAAAATAAGACCTACCCCGAAAATAAGACCTAGTGTGTTTTTTTGAGCCAAAAAAAAAATAAGACCGTGTCTTATTTTTGGGGAAACACGCTAGCTGTGCCTAGATGTGGGAGAAAGTTTTTTTTTTTATTTATAATTCATGATAATGTGATAGCAGTTGAAATCAATAATGTTGTAATGTTTTGTTTTTTTGTTTAGGTGACCATGCCCAGCTCAGCCTGAAAATTGGATCTCTTGATGATGGAATCTATAACATCCCAATACAGATCACCGATTCAGGAAACCCTTCCATGACAAACACTTCGTACTTGCGTGTGAAAGTTTGTTCTTGTGACATGAATGGGTACTGTAGTGGAGTTGCCCCCATTATTGGAACTGGCCTTGGAACAGGAGCCATCATCGCAATTCTACTATGTATCATCATTCTGCTCAGTAAGTACAGCAAAAGCAGGATAGCAGCAAAAGATCTATGATGTTCACTATTTGAAATAAATTAGCTACAATCTGGCAACATTGTAAACATACATAAAATAAGCAAACTATTTACTAAATGGAGTAAAGAAGACAGACCTTGTGAAAGCTCAAATGGAGCACAATTCAATTTCTTTGTAAAGGTTTTACAGCAAATACATTTGAAATCTCTACTCTGCGCAAATATGTAATACATTATTATTTTATTTTTAGAAAAAGACAGGGTTGGATATTTGTATTTTAGTTTACAGCATTTAAGTGGAAAGAAAGAGAAACAATTAGATAAAAGCAGACTTTGGTGTTATTCTCAGCATACCAGTTATGTAAATAGTGCAGCCCCAGATATTCATCACAAAAAGTAGAATTTATACATAACATAGTAGAGTGGTAAAGCCCTAACCGTATCTTTCACTTCAGGAGAGTTTTCATTTTTAAACATGAAATTAATGAAAATAATCTGCATAATATGTGGGTGGAGCATTAACATAATAATGAGTTAGGTCTGAGTAGAAAGGAATTGGTGTGATGGTATTATTTGTGTAGATTTGTGATCACAAACATAATCAAGGGTATCTCTTCTAGGCTTTCTCTGGCACCAGGGGGTTAATGGAGAGGGGGTATTTTGTGTTTATTGCATTTTAATTAGTTGATGTCATTTTCTTTACACTTTTCTTCTTAGGGCTCAGTCCCTCTGTACCTCTGCATCACAGACTACTTACAGCTATTGTTGTTATCAACAGCTATTGCAGATATCTGTTGCTGCAGAGGTTGGAAAGGGAAAGCTGGAGAAGCTATTATCTGTTCATGCAAGGCTACAGGAGCACATGGGAAACCCATATGTTGTTACATATGATGGGAGTTCCCTGTAACCACAGTGTGAAAATCCAACAGCTGATGTATTCAGCTCTGGGGCTCAGCACTAGACCCCGGGCAGAAGTTTCATCTTGCAGGGACCTTCATGCACCCACTGAAACCTGGTGCAATTTTGAACAATTTGTAGCTGCAATAGCAGGAACCTTTAAAGCAATGTCTGGGCTCTAGGTAACAAATCATACCTATAAATAGAAATCTAATAATAAATATACAGTCAAATACTGTGGAGTCCAGTCTGTCGTGTAAGATAAAAACATGGTAGTTACAGAATAATAAGTTATAATCTGATAACATATTAAACCTATATAAACTTTGCAAAGTAGTCACTAAATAGAATGTAGAAAAAAAGACTATCTGTGGGGTCAAAAGGATCACAGTGCAATGCTAGGATCCTTCTGGCTTCCTTTTAAACAGTAAATAATTAACTTCTGACCCCAGCAAATCCTTAGTTGTACTACAAGGCCTGCATAAAGAGTGTACAGCCTCTAGGACCGCTAATTCTGTAATGAGTGTTGGGTAGGATCTGCAGCCAGGAGTGCAGGCTCTGCCTCAGGTTGGCTCATAGAGAATGATGGCTAGCCCCAAGAAGCCCCCTGCATCAGCTTGCAGACCCTATCTAGCATAGGTACTGGAGGCTGTAAACTCTGCTCACATGCATAACAGTGCAACTGAGAAATTACTGGGGTCATAAGGCCTTAGCATTTTAGATAACATTTTCCTTTAACAAGCCATATAGATTAAAAAAAAACATGCTAAATCTTCAAGTTCTGGGCTTTCTTTTACTACAAATGGGAAAGTCCATATATGGTAAATGGTGTCACTGGGGATCCCTGCAGACTGGCAAGCATCCGATCTGCAGGGATCTCCAGTGATATTATTTCATATATGGACGTTCCCATTTGTAGTAAATGCTGAAGAGAGATGGCTCCTTCCCCTCTGTCATCAGCGATCCACAATCTTTTTATTATGTCAGTGTCACACAGGGCAGGGAGTGAGAGACAGGGGGGAAGGAGCCAGGCTGGCACACGGGGACGTGCAGGTAAGGAGAGAGCTGCTGCGCATGTCCATATATTCGTGGACGCGCAGCAGCTCTCAGGAATCACTGTCAGTCACAGTGAGGAAGATCAGTGGGGAGGATCCCGTCAGACACGTCGGGGTGTCTCCTCATTGCGGCGCTTAGCCCCGCCCACCACCTTAAATAAGGGTTTACAGCCTTACTGTGCATTTTGGCTAATTAGAGTAATATACATAATTTACTTATTTAGCCTAAGGAATGCATTAATCAAGAAAAGATAGAACCCCATAGTTCTCCTTTAAATGCAGCTTTATTTTGACTTGACAATAGCCTCTTGCAATCTCCTGTACAGCAGCATTTAGAGTGTGAGAGGGAGGGGCAGAATTGGGAGCCATTAAGGTGTGCTGCATGCAAATATGTTGACAAGGAGCATGCTGGTTGGAAGAGAGAGCAGTGAGATGACCTCATAATTTTACTGCTGCTCTTTTTCTGTCTAACCAGCGGGCATATAAAACAACTCTTACACATATAAAAACAACCCTTACACGTAGTTTATCTGTGTATGTAATTGTTTGCCTGAAGGCCAGCGTTAATTTAATAACAATTCCATTGTAACAGTATAGGGGCACATAGAACTAGAGCATGACTTAGTCATGGCAATGTCAAAATACACTGAATCCATCATATTTGTAAGAATAAAGTATGGTGTCTACCATACTTTATACCATACTACCATTCAGCAAGCTTGGCTTTCAGCGCGGCTCAGCCGAGCCGAGGCATATGCCTTCGGCTCGACTGAGCCGCTCGGCTAAGTTCGGGAGCTGTACGGGCTATTGTGAATAGCCCGTACAGCAGCCCTATGGTTCTACTGAACCGAAGGGGTCCTGGGGCCGAAGCTAGCCAAAGGATCAGCCGAAGCTACTGCTAGATCCTTCGGCTGCTTCGTGAATAGACCCCTATGTTCTCCTCACAGAGTTCCACTGCTAATGCTTTAGCAGTGGAACTCTGTGAGGAGAACAGAGTTTGCCAAGTTTTTTGTTTTTCTATATAGCCTTCTGGACTCCCTCACTGGAATGGGGCAGCCTCTACTGGATGCACAGTGAAGGGTTCTGGCTTATGGATGGTCTTCCGGGTGCTGGTCGGTGTATTGCATTTTTTTTTAAATATAATGAGGTTTACCTAACTCTTCAAAAAAGAAAAGAGCACTGTTGCTGCTACAACTCCCAATCGGACAGAAACAGCAATGCTCAAAGTCTAAGCAACCTTCCACAAGACACATACATAATTCTACAATGCTACATTTTACCTTAGTACTCCAGCGTTTACTGTGCAAGTAGCATCAGATTTGGAATCTTCTCAGCAAATGTCAGGTGTTATGGGAAAAGCATTGTTTTAAGTTTGTGACTCAACAAACCAAGTGAGCTTTCTTTAATATTTTGTTCTGAGAATAAATCATTTTGTTAAATCTCCCTTTGCCTGCTGTTTGAATACAGAGTTATTATAGCTAGAGACTTCCGCCAAAGTAGGGGAACTCGGAAGAAAGTAAAGTCTCATGTACAAAATACATGATAGTATTTAAAGCATAAACACTACAATTCATAATGAATCAAAATAAGATATATATATTGTAGTTATCACAATATATATTGTTATTGTATTGCAACATTGTTCCAGTCAAATACAAGAGTGTTATTTACTAATCTTCAGATAATGGATTTGAGTGGAGGATCTGTGTAAATCAGATGCATTTCCTGCTCAATCCAGAGCAAGAACATCATTCTGTCTACCATTTTACAAAATTGTAAAATTTTGATAATGATAAAAAGCTCAATTTGGCAGATTATGACAGCATTCCTTGGTGCCTGGTTTATCCGGAAAAGGAAATAAACTTTAGCACTCAGTAAGGGTGATAAACAATGCAAGGAACATTTAATTCCATTTCTGTCCATCAGTGCTTTTTTATATTAATATGCAAAAGCATAAAATCTTAAATAGCTCATTTATATATGAAAGTCTTTTATACAATAATGGCAAATGTTCAGAAAACAGTAACAAACTAACACCATCCCTCAACGGTGACAGTGCTGGTACCCCTTCAGTGCTAAGGCTAATTTAGTCTATAACTAATGTATTGTTAAGCACCAAAATAAATGCTAAGTAAGGTGCTGTTGAAATTCTGCCATATAGCTATATACTGTGAGGACTTTTAAAAAACAGTGTATCATGTACATCTGGCCAGAGATAGGTGCACTAGCATTTCTAAAGAAATGGTAGCTTTTTGTTATACTTTCAGTTTGGTACCTACTTATTTGCCAGAGGTGAGAAATATGATTGGATTGAACAAGACAACTGTGATTCCGATAAAGCATATTACATTTTTAGGGCATATGTTGTGTAAAACATCTGCAGCACAGATGATATACAGTCTGCTCCCTTGTTTTTTGTGTTCCATGGATTTGTTTTACAGTTGGTACAACCAATGTTGAAAGCAAATTGATTTACTTGTTGAAGTTAACGTGTATTAATATTTAAAGACTTTATTTAAACTAATTGCCTGACTTAATTTGTCTGCAAGAGAAATCAGATATGTTTAGCGCAAGGTTTGGAAACAATTGGGTAAAAATTCCATTATGAGTGCAAGCCAAATATCACATTACTAATAGTCTTCCTCCATATCTAATGAATCTGCTGGTGCCTTAGTCACACACTGCAATCAGCAATTGTATTATTCTATCTACAAGCATTTTTATATTTCACTCATTAGAAACATTTTCTTTTCATTCTTTAGCCTTAGTATTAATGTTTGTGGTATGGATGAAACGCCGGGACAAGGAGAGGCAAGTCAAACAACTCCTTATTGACCCAGAGGATGATGTCAGAGATAACATATTGAAGTATGATGAAGAAGGTGGAGGAGAAGAAGATCAGGTAAAGATAATGCCATCTGACTTTATAATGCTTAAACAAAGTTTAATTCTAACTAACTAAGTTCTAACTAACCTATATGTACTGGTTATAGTTTTCTCAGAAATGTATGCATTGCTGCATTTATTAGAAATGGCCCAATCAAACCAAAACAAAATGTGGTGTCTTAAGCTAGCGGTCTGCATTAGAGAGCTGGTGTATGCGTGATGATGATATGGCTGCTAAATGATTGTTTTTACAAATTCAAAACCAATAATGCTCGTATATGCTGGATGTGCATGTTTATGCATTACATGGAACTTTGGAGACATCCCTGAAACCGTGGAGATTAGCTAGAATTGGAGAGAATTCACTAACGTTTGTGTCTAATTTCTGCAACAGTGAGGGGAAATCCCTCCAAAGAGCCTTATGATGGTCAGCAGGGTCACCAGAGCTAGTGTCCTCATTGCAAGATTTCCCATCTATTTCTGTTCTGATGGCCACCCAAATTTTGTGGTTTTCTTTTACTCACACTTTTAGTATAAATGGTCACCAGGGCAAAAAGGGTGGGTGAACCTCCATAACGTTGACCCAGACAGGTGTTCTAATCCCTCTCCGTTCCATCCATAACTAAAAAAAAAAGTTTGGGCTTCAGCTGCACTTTATGCCATACTCCAGGAAAAAATAACAATTTACACACTACACTGCACATAACTCTTGGTTTCCAGGCCCTGTATCCTGCATCCCAACCCCTTTTCACTACTTGTTCATTCACAAAATGGCTTGTAGTTTTTTTAAGAATACAAGGCATTCTTTAATTGGAGGAGAGGAGGGGGCAAGACAGATATGTGATGTCATGTCTCCTCCTCCAATCACAAACTATTTTACTTTTATAGCAACCAGGAGCATGTTTAAAGGCCCATGCTGCCCATTACATAAGCCATATATTGGTGGCAATGAGTTAAAAACCATGCTACACTTTTTCCAAGGTTTCTCTTTAGTGGAAGTATATGCCTTTGAAAGAAGATACCAAGTACTGCCTTCAACCTTTTCAAAAACAGTGAGCTGAAAGCTGACCGTTGTTATTTTATTTCTAAAGGTCCCATGTCATGTCCTGTAGTAGAAGTAGGCTTTTTCTTAGAACTTACCTGTGAGGACAGGTGACAGCATCATAATGTGAATTTGTAGGAGGGCATTCTCTTACATCACCATAAGTAGTTTTTTTTCCTTCTATAGTTGGTTTGGCCAAAATTTGGCTTGGAACCCTGTTACGCTAGGTACACTGTATACTGTTAGATTTCTTCTTTCAGGTTTTGCGCTGAACTGAAAAAAATATGACAGATTTATCCATCCATGCTGTGGCTATTGTATTTTAACATTTGTCCACCTTGGCTGTCAAAATACCTGAACAGTGCCTGCATCTCATTGGATGCAGGCGCTGTTAGGCCAACAGTTTTCCACCCAACTTACACTTTTCAATGAAGGATATCGGGCAGTAGACGGGGTCACCCAGTGAGCGAATCTCAGCTGGTTTGTCAAGAAAGGGCTACAATTTGTTCAATGTATAGCCAACTTTACATTACTTTGGATGCTACTAGCCAATATGTGTTAAATTAATGTATACATGTTGTCTTTGAAACTGTTACAATCATAATTGCACAACTAGCTAAACAATTTTACTTTGCAATACAAACGCTCTTTTTGAAGGTTCAGGTGAGTTTAAAGTAAAGATGATGATAGCTTATGCATTCTCTAGTTCAGTGTAGATGCCTACTTTCGGTGAAAAAATAAATGTTAGAGCTTATAAGAATTCCAAGAACATGGCTTACTATTTCACACATACTAAATGAGTTAACTTTCTTTCTCTTGAGGTGTTGATTGCATCAGAAACTTCGATGGTGTTTTATCGCCTAAAATGACACCTTCACTTCACTATGACACTGCATTTCAATATTTCCATTATTCAAAATTTGTGACTTGTTCATAACGCAATTGTAGAACATCAGCTGAAAGCTTGCTTTGACATTTTGTACATTTTCCATAAAAGCCCAAAATAATTGTTTATAATTGCTTCAATAGAAAAGTATTTATGTTTCCAGTAATTTAAGCATACAATGCATATTGGTATTTGTCAAATTATTCCTCACTTGTCATATTAATTGAATGTATTTTTATTTTGAAGGATTATGATTTAAGCCAGCTGCAGCAGCCTGACACATTGGAACCGGACACAATAAAACCTGTGGGAATACGGCGGATGGATGAAAGACCTATTCATGCAGAGCCTCAATACCCAGTTCGGTCTGCTGCTCCACATCCTGGTGATATTGGAGACTTCATCAATGAGGTGAGTGCCAGTTTTGGTTCCTTCTATATTTACATTTAATGAATTAGGTGAAAGATTACAAGTCCAAGTCTAAAACAATTAAAAGCCTGTGTGAATGTACTACAAAATTCTTTATAAATATATATTTAATGTGACTTAAAAAAAAAAAAAAAGCTGCTAGCAGGTATAC